CCTCTTTTTTCTCCTTCCTCTCTCCCTCCCTTTTCTCCTTCCTTTCCTTCCCTCTCTCCTTCCTTATTTCCTTCTTTCATTCCTTTTCTCCTCCCTCCCTCCCTTCCTTTCCCTCCCCCCTTTCTTCCTCCCTTTTCTCCTTCCTTCCCCTCCCTCCCTCCCTTTTCATCTTCTTTTTCCTTCCTTTCCCTTTCTCCCTCCCTCCTTCCTCCCTTTTCTTCTTCTTCCCTCCCTCCCTTCCTTCTTTCCTGACCCTCTCCTTCCTCCCTTCCTTTTCTCCTTCCTTCCCCTTCCTTCCTCCCCCCTTTTCTCCTTCTTTCCTTTCCCTCCCTCCCTCCTTTCTTCCTCCCTTTTCTCCTTCTTTCCTTCCTCCCTTCCTTCTTCCCTGACCTTCTTCTTCCTTCCTCCCTCCCTCCCTCTCCTCCTTCCTTCCTTCCTTTCCCTCCCTCCCTCTTTTCTTCCTCCCTTTTCTCCTTCCTTCCTTCCTTCCTCCCTCCCTCCATTTTCTCCTCCCTTCCTTCTCCTTCCTTCCTTCCTTCCTTCCTTCCTTCCTTCCTTCCTTCCTTCCTTCCTTCCTTCCTTCCTTCCTTCCTTCCTTCCTTCCTTCCTTCCTCTTTGGAGAATAGCTTGACCCCTTCTCCCTGTGGCAGCCCCTCAAATATTGGAAGGCTGCTCTCCTGTCTCCCCTGGTCCTTCTCTCCCCTAAACTAGCCAGGCCCAGTTCCTGCAACCGTCCGTCGTATGTTTCAGTCTCCAGTCCCCTCATCCTCCTGGTTGCTCTTCTCTGCACTTTTTCTAGAGTCTCAACATCTGTTTTATAATGTGGTGACCAAAACTGGATGCAGGACTCTAGGTGTGGCCCTTACTAAGGATAGATAGATGGATGGATGGATGGATGGACAGACTAGACTAGCCATGCCCAATTCCTGCAACCATTCATTATATGTCTTAACGTCCAGTCCCTATAGATGGATAGACAGAAAGACAGACAGACAGACAGATAGATGATAGATAGATAGATAGATAGATAGATAGATAGATAGATAGATAGATAGATGGATAGATAGAGGCATAGATGATTGATAGATATAAATAAACAGACTAGACTAGCCAGGCCCAGTTCCTGCAACCGTCCTTCGCATGTTTCAGCCTCCAGTCCCCTCATCCTCCTGGCTGCTCTTCTCTGCACTTTTTCTAGAGTCTTTTTATAATCTGGAGACCAAAGACCTGTGAATCCTCCACCACGAAGGGAGGGAACTTGCCAAAACGAGGGGGTGTTTCAAAGAAGGCCACAAAAAAATCAACGGTCATAAATACAAGTCAGTTGCCAAACGTCTGAATTTTGATCAGGTGACCAGGGGGATGCTACAAAGGTCATAACTGCAAAATAAATAAATAAATAAATTGGTCCTAAGTTGCTTTGGCCAGTGCCGTTGTACCTTTGAATGGTCCCTCAGTGGAACGGTTGTCAGTTGAGGACTCCCTGTGTTTGCCGTACGGAATAGCGGAGTGGGAAGGGACCCCGGAGGCCTTCTAGTCTGACCCCCTTCTCATCCTCCCCTTTCGCCTAGGGGCCTTCCTCATACCCTACCTAATCATGGCCATCTTCGGAGGGATCCCGCTCTTCTACATGGAGCTGGCGCTGGGCCAGTATCACCGCCACGGCTGCATCTCCGTGTGGAGGAAGATCTGCCCCATCTTCAAAGGTAACTCGGGGGGGAGCAAGGCTGGGCCACTTATTATGGGATGGTGGGACCGGGGTGAAGGTGGGAATAGAGTGGAAAGGCCAAGACGGGGGGGGGGGGGGGGGGGACCGGGGGGGGGGGGGGGGGAGGGGGGGGGGGGGGGGGGGCCCCCACGCGGCTCGGGGTTTGAACGGCAGGGTCCTTGGTGCTTCTCTTGAGATTGCAGGGTTTCTGGCAGACGTTTTGTGACCCAACGAGGTAGCATCGTCAGTGCTGGAAGGAAAAGGGGTTTGTGGAGGAGGAGGAGGAGGAGGAGAATTGTGGGTTGCTAGGTGCTCTCTGAGCTTGGTTGTTTTTTTGCAGACATTTCATGACCCAATTAGGTAATGTTATCAGTGCTAGAAGGGAGGAGGATTGTGAGGAGGAGGAGGAGGAGGAGAAAATAAGAAGGAGTTGGTGGATGCCAGTGGTTTTCCTACAGACATTTCATGACCCAATTAGGTAATGTTATCAGTGCTAGAAGGGAGGAGGAGGAGGAGGAGGAGGAGGAGGAGGAGGAGGAGGAGGAGGAGGAGGAGGAGAAAAGAAGAAGGAGGTGGTGGATGCAGGTGGTTTTCCTACAGACATTTCATGACCCAATTAGGCAATGTTATCAGTGCTAGAAGGGAGGAGGATTGTGGGGAGGAGGAGGAGAGGAGGAGGAGGAGGAGGAGGAGGAGTTGTTGTTGGTGGATGCCAGTGGTTTTCCTACAGACATTTCATGACCCAATTAGATAATGTTATCAGTGCTAGAAGGGAGGAGGATTGTGGGGAGGAGGAGGAGAGGAGGAGGAGGAGGAGGAGGAGGAGGAGTTGTTGGTGGATGCCAGTGGTTTTCCTACAGACATTTCATGACCCAACTAGTTAACATTATCAGTACTAGAAGGGAGCGGGGGTTTCTCTCTCTTTATATACTAGCGGTTTGCCCTGGTCCGTGTGGGTGCAGTGTGGTTTTTTCCCTCCTTCATCGAGATCCCGTTTTCTGCCCCACTGTTTCTCTGGACTTCACCCTAGCTTATTTGGGTCCAAAAATAACCGAATCAATCCAATCAAAATGGCGTCAAAATAACCGGATCAATCCAATCAAAATGGCGTCCCCACCGGGCCCTCAGTCCAACAGCCCCTCCCCCCCCCCCCCTCCTGAAGGGGCCCCCCCGCAGGAATCGGCTATGCCATCTGTATCATCGCCTTCTACGTGGCGTCCTACTACAACACCATCATGGCCTGGGCGTTGTACTACCTGGCCTCCTCCTTCCGCAGTGAGCTGCCCTGGGTCAGCTGCGACCACGCCTGGAACACCCCCAATTGCATGAGCTACTTCTCCAACCAGAGCATCGCCTGGACGGCCAACTCCTCCTCCCCGGCCGAAGAATTCTATACGTAAGTGCATGTAAGTCGAAAGAAGGGGAAGAGGCCGGAAGGATGGGGGAGGAGGAGTGGACGATGGGCAGAGGGGTGTCAGGGCTCCGACCAACCACTCCCCCCCCATTCAAATCACAAGTCTCTAGCCGCGTCTCTCAGCGAAAAAAATAAAATGATTTATTAGGATTGACCGTGTCGGCGTTACCTAGGTGCAGCCGACTCTAAGACCCATCATTCATTTCCCCCTTGACCCTGGTCTTCTCCCCCCCCCCCCACCGGATGTATATTCTCCAATGGGACTGTTAGTGTTTGGGGACAAACCCCCAAGCAGAGTGCACAGCAGCAGTCAAGCCAGGCAGCCAAATGAGAGAGAGGCTGGGCCCAAGAGTATACACACACTGGAGACAAAAACACTGTTTGTAGTTTTAAATAGTTATTTAATTCATTTAGAGTTTAAGCATTGTCAATCAGTCCATATGTCATTATCCAATATATCCATCCAGTAACCTAGTCCATTAACTAGTCAGTACAATGTCTTTATCTGCTTGTAAATCTTCTCTTTCCGATACCTTTCTCTCGAAGACAACGCTGAGTATGCACAGGATATCAGCTCACCAAGTAAACAGTCCTTTTGTTCAGCACAGTAGCCAACAAGCATTAACAAACAGACGTCTCAAACAGGAGTAAACAGCAGGCAGCAGACAGCAGAGAGACCAGCGACCAGAGACCAGAAAGTGTTACGTTACTCTTACTGCCTTTTATTGCTGCTTGCAACCGCACCCTTAATTATCTAATTACATTGCAGTTTGGTGCTTAAAGCTACAAACACTTAAACCTAGGTTTATATATTTATTCACCCAAACCTAGTTGGTGTATCAATATACCCAACATTCTCCCCTTTTGGGTGATATAAATATATAATACCCTTACAATCTAAACCCATACTTTTCACAACTCTCTAGGTGCTTAATGGCACCTTGGGCTTTAGTAAAATTATCAGCTATATTGTCCTCCGACATGCAGTACTCCAGCTGTATCATTTTACTCTGTACAGATTGTCTAACGTTTAGGTACCTTAAATCTGTATGCTTGCTCCTAGTTTTTACTGCAATATTTGTGGCCATTTGAATTGCTGCCTGATTATCTTCATGTACAATTATAGGATAATTTACAGTTAATCCCATATCATTCATCATTTGTTTATACATAATTAACTCAGTACATAATAGCGATAAACAGGAGAATTCTGCCTCCATAGTAGACAAACTTATATGCTGTTGTCTTATTGACTTCCAACCCTATTAATGTCTTACCCAGCATTATGGCTGTTCCTGAAGTCGACTTTCTTGTGTCTCTTTCTGATGCAAAACTAGCATCTGCATAAGCACTCAATATGAGATCACCTTTTGGTTCTAGATACAGTGCATGGTGTAATGTTCCTTTAAGATATCTCAAAATTCTCTTCAATGCTATCCAATGACATTGAAGCGGATCATTGCTATGTCGTGCCAGTTGATTAATACAATAAGCTATATCTGGCCTTGACCAATTGCTAATGTATGATAAGCTACCAATCAAAGATTGATATAATACCTTATCAAACTTGGGACTTTGAGTATCCATTTTGCAAATATCCTGACTCATTGGAGTCTTTGCAGGCTTACAAAGTTCCATCTTATAATCTATTAGCAATTTAGATATCTTATCCTCCTGAGATATCTTAAAACCTTTCTGTGTTTTCAGTATATTCAAACCCAGATATTTCTTTATCTCCCCTAATTGCTTGATTTTTATTTTCTTTCCTAATGATGCTATTATTTTATTTGCTTCATCATTAGTCTCAGTAATCAAAGCAATATCATCAGTAAATAATAATAATAATGATATTTTCCCATTTGTCTCCCTTTTAAACAGACATGGATCGGCTAAACCAGCTTTAAACCCTATATTGTTTAGTTCCTTTACAATATATTGGTTCCATTCATAGCCCGATTGTTTAAGACCATAGAGGCTCTTTTTTAACAACCAACAATCATTATTATTTTCACCTTTAAATCCATTAGGCCTTTTCATATAAACAGTATGTCTTAGTGGAGCATGCAAGTAAGCAGTTTCCACATCTAAATGGTTAACTATATATTTCTTGCTTGCTGCCCACACTAAAGCTGCCCTTAATGTTGCTGCTTTAAGACTAGGTGCAAATACTTCATCATAGTCATTGGCACTTTGTCTAAAACCTTGGGCTACTAATCTTGCCTTATGGATTATTTTTCCATCCTTATCAGGTTTTATCTTAAAAATCCATTTGCAGCCAATGGGTTTTATATCAACAGGTAATCTCACATTTTCATATACTTTCATATCCTTCAAGGATTTCAATTCCTTATTCATTGCTGCATACCAACTTTCCTTATCTTTAGAAGGATACATTTTTATTTCATCCACAGTATATGGAACTCTATTTACCTGGCACACTGTGTTAGCCTGGTATCTATCAGGCGGTCTAGATATTCGTGTAGTTCTTCTGGGTATTGCAGGGCTTGTATGAGGACTTTTATGAGTTACTACCTGTTCGTGTTCCTCATCTTGCTCAGCTATTTGTTCTATTTCTTCCTCTATGGGCACAATTTCTTCCTGTATTTCTCTCTTTACTTTATTCTTAAAGTTACAGGGATACTTAATGGGATTTCTATAGGATTCAATAATCACTTCTTTATTGTTATCCTGTTCTAACTTATCCCATCCTACATGCTCTAGAAATTGGGCATTGGCACTACATAACACCTTAGATGTGCCTTTCTCCCAAAATCTATATGCCCTATGGTTAGCTTGGTAACCAACGAAGAATAATTGTTTAGCTCTGTGTTGCCCTTTACGCCTGAGTTGTGTAGGGATATGCACCCATGCTGGTGCACCAAATGTGTGCAGGTAACTCAGATCAGGCTTCCTGCCATGCCACATGGTGAATGGTATTTCACCAGTAGTTGAGTTAACAACGTTGTTCAATATGTTATTAGCACACATTGCAGCCTCCCCCCACACAGAATCAGGTAATCCAGAATCAGTTAACATTGTTCTAACCATTGCCTGTAGTGTTTGGCCTCTTCTCTCTATAAATGCGTTGTGTTGTGGTCTGTATGGTGCAGATTTCTTGTGCTCTATTCCAGCTACCTTTAATCTATTCTGGAATTTGTTATTAACAAATTCCGTACCATTATCTGTCACCAGGGTTATCAGTTGCCGTTTAGTCTTTCTTTCTGCAAACTTTAACCAGTTGAAGAAATGTTGATATGTTTCAGTTTTGCTTTTCATTAGGTAGCAAAACCCATATCTAGAGTAATGGTCCATAATGCTCAGTATATACCGAGCACCCCACATAATGGGTTTCTTTGGACCTATAATGTCTGCAAATACTACTTCTAAAGGTTCTTTAGTTTTGAAACCATTTAGCCTATTTGCAGGCAATATTTTACTCTTATCTTCACAGCAGACATTACAACGCAAATATTTATCACAAGGTTTTAACCTTATTCCTTCAGATAACTCTACTGTACGTTTTAGCATTTTAAAATTTACATGCCCCAAACGCCTATGCAATAAATGGATACATTCATTATGAGGCTTGATATTGTTAAATACAGTCTGTGCCTCCCCTTTCTTACTATCATGTAAGACATATAATGCTCCATTTAAAGCTGCAGTTACTCTTTTGTTATCTTTATCAAGTATGCACTTATTATTCTTAAATGTAATTACATAACCTAGTTTATCTAATACTCTTACAGAAAGTAAGTTCATCTTTAACTGTGGTACATATAACATTTTTATATTCTGGTTTAAACATGGACAATATGCAATACCTTCACCCTTGGCCTTGAGGTGCCAGCCGTTAGCGAGTGATATACGTTGAGAACTTGTAGACATTTTTAGAAACTTTGTCTTATCTCTCGTGATGCAGTGGGATGCACCACTGTCCACCACCCATAAATCATTCTTCACATCACAGTTGCTAAACGTGGCTAGTTCAAAGGATTTCTTTGGCTTTTTTACATTCTGGCTTTTTCCTTTTCTGCAGAGTCTTGCCAAATGTCCTCTGCCTCCACAATTAAAACACTTTTTAATTGTGTATGCCGTCGAAGATAAATTCTCTTCTTCCGGGTGCTTTACTTTACTAAGTTGGTTTCTTTCAAGCTTTGAAGATAATTTCTCTTCTTTATTAGGTTTATCTTCTCTCAGCTGGTCACGTTCACACCTTCTTCTGGCTTCTTCTAATAGCCTGCCGGTAATCTCAGTTACTGATAAACTGTCTTTTGGCAATACCTCTAAAGCAGTCACAAAATCATCATAGCTTCAATCCAAAGAAGACAGTATGATGTATACTTGTTGCAACTCATTAAATATAAGCTCTTTTTCTTGTAATTCCTGAAAAATGCTTTTCATACAGTTTAAATGAGTTAACATGTCTCCATTCCTCTGAAGATGTGTTCTAAACAGCTTCCGTGTAAGATTGATATGAGCTCCTACACTGTCTCGAACATAAATCTTCCTGAGACTCTCCCAGCAGTTTGCAGCATTTTCCTCTCCACGGATATGAATGAGTTGCTGGTCTGAGAGAGTCAGTCCTATGATGCATAAAGCCTGCTCATTCTTTCGTTCATAGTCTTGTATCAGTTTATCATCCTCTTCATCATTAGGATCTAAGTTAGATACATCTGGTGGGTTTGTTATTATGTCCCACAAACCTTCTCTTCATAGAAGTAAACTACATTTCATTGACCATGAAACATAGTTTGTTCCATCTAGTCTGGATATCATGGACAGACTTGGCAAATTTACTTGTGCCATTGCTCTTCAGATAAATAACTATTCAACAAACAGTTTGTTTTTACAGTAATGTGCAACTCACACCAAACTCTCACTGCTATGACCTGGTTAGTTAGACTGTGCTCACTGCTGGGCCCATAACCAATGTTAGTGTTTGGGGACAAACCCCCAAGCAGAGTGCACAGCAGCAGT